TGTGTGTGTGTGTGTGTGTGTGTGTGTGTGTGTGTGTGTGTGTGTGTGTGTGGGATGTCATGGAATGAATCAGTGTTTTGTCTAAACATAACAAAAAAACAAAGGATCCATTTCAAATTGTCTCTTTAGGCAATTTGTTACAAACTGGGGTTTTTTGGGTTTTTTTTGCAAAATTACGATTTGATGCCTTTTTTTTTAGTTGAATCTATAAAAAATGAGAAAGATAATACAATTTGACAGTTTTGCACCACCAAGGCAATTCCCCAAGAGCTATTAGCTGAAAACTTAGAACATCTCTGCATAGTGTGCAAATTGTCCTTAAGAAACTGAGGAAACTGGACAAATAAGGAATAAAAGAAGAAGTGGCAGGCCTAAAAAAACTATCTACAGCATTTCAAAAGTATCTAAATCTCATGTCCTAAAGAAACAGGAAAGAATTCAGCAAAGACCAAACACAGGACCTGAGAGACGCATGTGGCTCTTCAGTTTTCAGAAGCCTCATTAGAAATGGTGTCAATAGACGAGTGGCTGTCAAGAAGCCATTCCTAAGGAAGAGAAACAGGAAGAAAGGTTGAAATATGCCAATATACACAAGAACTGGATTGAAAATCAGTGACATCAGGCCTTATGGTCTTATCAATCCATATTTGAACATTTTCATTCAAATTATCATCAATATGTATGAAAGAAGTCAGGAGAGAGGTAAAACTGTGATTGTCTACGATTATCTGTAAAACATGGTCCTCTTTCATAGTTTGGGGCTATAATTTAGCAGTGCTGTTAAAAGCATACCTGAACAGAAAAACAAACAATGGATTGGCTTTCCGAGAGCTTGGACCTCATCTTGAGAGAGAACAGAGCAAAAGACATCCAACATCCAAAGAACAGCTTTGAATGTCCCTCAAGAGGCCTGGAGAACTATTCTTGAAAAAAGAAATGACGAGAAAGAGAGTTCAGGCTGTGCTGAAGAATAAGATGCTCATACCAAATATTGACTTTCAAACTTGTTAGAATTGTACAATTTGTTTTTGCCTTGTGTGCTATGTGTATTTATTTCAATTAATTTGAGTGAAATGAATCTTTAAAAAAGTAAATGCTTCATGTTGGAGTCATTAGAGCAGCAGGTGGCAGTATTCATTCATTTTTAAAGCAGACTTTTGTTTTGTTTTACTCGGGGAACAAAGACCTGTAGCATGCAGAAATTTAGGATGTTTTCAAGATCATTATCAGTTTAAGAAAACTTGTGTACATTTTAATAACTATATCTTTCATGGAGTTTAATTTTACTTAAACAGCATACCTCTGTTAAGGGACCTGGAGACCTGGTTTGTTAAAATAGCTGAACACGAGGGAAACAATACCTCACACAAGAAAAAGAGACAGCCTTACTCTGCAGAATGCATAAACCACTCACATTACCCACATTGCATTTATTTGCATAAAAGTGTTTGCAGTAAAAAGTGGGAGATTTGCATTCACCGTAATGTTGACAGTTCAGTCTGCTTTACCTGCCATTGCCAGTTTATCATTATGACTGTGCTGAATACTGCTAAATGCTAAGAGATGCTTGACAGTCTACTCAGCCAGCAAATTCATTACACCCATGGATTAATAGTGCAGATATGGCAGTGGACCATTCAACACCAAACTATAACCAATTTAGAAATGCCCAGTGGGTGATCATCTTATTTCCAAGCTTTCAGTTTCTGTAAATGTGCCAAGTACAACTGATTGAGACTGAAGGCTTTACAGTGAAATTATTACAGTCTGCATTTTATTTCAAACCCAACATAAAAACTGAACCGTGTTGCCTTTTTGCTTTGAAATACTCGCATTTCGAACCTCCCTCCAGGTCAGCCTTTGTGGCAGTTGTACCTGTAATGCTAAGATCAAAAAGTGTTGGGTGGATCTAATGGATTAAGGCACACACATACACTTTTTAGCACAATCAGCTTCTTAACCTCCTCCCGTCACAGAAATTGCACAGATCATAGGTCTGTCACGGAGATTCTGATTCTTGGGGTTTGAACTGGTCAAGATAAAATCTTAAATAGTGAAAAGAATTTTACTCTTCAAGTCCCTGAAGAGAATCGATATGATACAGCCAGAGTAGGATAAATTCAAAGTAACAGTTTAACTTTTCACAATCCACAGTCAAAAATAGTTGCCTATGAACCTTATCTTAATGATAGGGTTCATAAGCAAAAAGGGCTGAAACCACAGATTAAGCAAGAAGCCAGTTCTGAAAATGATTTCCTCCTCAAGGATAATGTAACCAAACCATACAGGAAAAAAAACTACCTTTGTGTATTAACAAGGTAAAAACATTCACCAATAAGCTGATAAGTCACCATAGCCACACAGCTGTATTCATTTCATACATTTGCAGTAATAATTCATGCTGACAGCCACGTGGAGGGTTTAAGTGAGCTCTCATTGATTTTTTTTTCTCATAGATTTGTTGTTAGTCCCACAATTTGCCCAGTTTTAATGGAAATGAAAATATGTGTGTGTTTGTAGTTCACACACACACATCCTCGGTGACTAGCCAGACTCCCTGCAGACTCGGTCTATTATTTCCTGGCAGTGTGGTGACACAGTACTTTATTCAGGCTGAATTACACCACCGAGCAACATAGTGCATTCAGTAACCTACTTAGACAATAGAGAAAGTCTCCACACTACACCAGGTATCCAGTACATCTTTGGTCCTACTTTCCTTTAATTGCAAGCCTATTCTGTGATGGACATGTTTTCGAAGCCCCTTTATCGCTGGTACATGAAGCCATTTTCCTGACTTGTCATACCGGTAGTTAAAGTGAAGAAAGGCCTCTCAGATGTGAGAAACCTGAACATAGCGATGTACAGAGTGGCTCAGTGCTGTTGGGAAACAATAGACATCTGCCTTATAACATTGTGTCAAAGTGACAGATCAATAATGCCTGCATCCTACATCATTACACTGCTGTGGGATATTGATTGCTGAGTTTGTCCTGAGTGGCACTTTACAGCCACAAGGTGTCTCACCACTCCTCTTGTGGTCACAGCTCTCTGAACACTGGGCTAGGCCCTCAATTCTAAAGGCATTGAGCTGATGAGTGGAAATGTTTCTGTTTGGGACAAAATATAAGCAGCTACGTGTGCCACTTGCTGTATGTTTTTGTTCGCAACAAGCTTCTACAAAATTCTAAAATTATACAGCGAATAATATTCACAGTAAAGCTGGGAATGTTATGAGTGCCAGTGTTCCACTTTTGGAAAAGTCATCCTGTCCTGTGGCTCTGGATCCTCCTTTCTGTGGAAGGATAGCACAAAGCAGGTTATATCGTTTCATCAAACACTGGCTTGACCTCAACACAAGCTCATATTTTTTTCTGAGCTGTCTGTGCAGGGAAGTTACAACAATGAGCAGTAAGCAGGTCCAAAGTTCCTGCAAATCCTACTGCAGAATAGGCAGCATAAACAGACGTTTCCTGTGGCTCCTGGTGCTCCACAAACCTCACTGTTAAACAGGCTGCAGTAAACAGCCAACACATTCCTGCTAAAAGAAATATTAAATAAACATGTTTATATAATTCAGTGCCTAAAATGAAAAGCCTACTGAGTCTATGGTGGTATTTTTGTGTCACATGGTGTAGTTAATCTTGTATTAATCTTTAACTGCAGCTTTCTTTGAAGTGCTTTTCTATTTTTAAAGCTACTTTTTCCTTTAACCACAGCACCTTAATATTCTTAAGAGGATTGGAAGGAATAGCAGGCTTGAACGTTTTTCCAAGGATTGCTTTACTTGCCTTTCAGTCTTAATTGACATTTTTTGTAAATCATCCCTCTGCTTAATGCAATATAGGCTCATTCTATAGTCAAAGACAGACAGCCAAATCCACCCAGTCATACAAGCCAATCCCCAAGCTTCATCAGCACTCCGTGTTTTCCAGACTGCCTATGTCTCGTCCCACTCACACTCTCTGTCAGAGCGCGGCGTTGACAACCACTGGCCACTGATCAGCCCACTTTGCACGGGTCGCGTCTCCATGCTAGACTGCTGAAAAAGGAGCTCTGTCCCTCACATTTTCTTTTACTTGCAAGTCAAGCATCTGACTGAAAGCAGCAAGCCCGTCCACGGCAACAAAAGCACAAGAAGTCAAAAAAACCTCCAAGTGATTTTCTAGGCTCATCACTGTCTGCACAATGTCTGGAGAAGACGCACCTGCTCAGCAGCAAAACGCCGTGGACCAAAAGCAGGAAACCAAACCTACCGAGGAGCCCAAAACCGAGCCACCCAAGACGGAGTCCCCACCCGCCGCCGCCGCAGAGGCAGCGGCCACCCCGGCGGCGACCACCGAGAAGGTCCCTGAAGAGGAGACCTTCACCTACCGCGCTCTGGTGCTCACCGGCTACGGGGGGTATGATAAAGTCAAGCTGCAGGTGAAGAAAGGCAAGCCGACACTCAAGGCTGGTGAGGTCCTGGTTCGGGTCAAGGCATGCGGACTGAACTTCGCCGACTTGATGGCCAGACAGGGGCTGTACGACCGGCTGCCGTCCCCGCCGGTTACCCCGGGAATGGAGTGCTCCGGGGTGGTGGAGGCTGTAGGGGAGGAAGTAACAGACAGAAAAGTAAGCACAAACTAGCTGTTGCCTTTTCTTTCTTTTACTGTGTCATATAAAAAAAACTTGCTGTGTTTGTTTTAATGTTTTGGTGATATGTATTTCATTCAGTTTGGGGCCGAACTGTTACATCTGGGCATGGGCGTGTCAGGCTTTTCTCCCTTCACTGGAAAAAAGTAGCGGTCGGGTTTCCATTTCCACGATTAAATTAATTTAACGTCATCAATCGATTGCAGGGCAATTCATCCAAAATACGGGGATAATATAAATCGGCTTTTTGGTTTAATATTGAGCTAATGTGGTTTCACATCCATTCATTCACTTCTGCGTAGAAAGCAGATGGCACTTGTAACGTGAAAAGCAATAAAGCATGTCAGTGTGCTCATGTTGATTTTTCATCTCTTTTGAAGAAGCCAAAAGTGTGTTAATGAGGCAAGTTGTGGACAATGCGGCCAACAGAGGCGTCGCCCCTCTTGTCTCCCCGGTTTTCGAATTGCGCTACCAGTGCGCACTTAGATTGAGCAACTTCAAGTACAAACTAGTTGCTGAGATTGAGAAGGATTCTCTGTTCACACCAAACATTCATGTTGAAAGTCTAAATCTATATAAACACATGTAATCTGTGGGATGCCTTCCATCCTTGCTGCACCTACGCTATGCTGCGCTTTGATGTGCGCCATGGTGCGGCGTGTTGCGTCAAGTTAGCTGGAGACACCGTGGACAAGACCGGAAATGAGTGTGTTCTGCCTTCAGAATTAAAGCTACTAACGCGTTCATGTGTTTATTAGCCTATCATATTTTGTTAAGAAAAAGAAGGAAGCAATTAGGTGTGAGAAAACGAGCACTTTTGATGGAAAATTATTTAAAAGAGTGGCTAATGGGTATACAAACGTGGCTCTACTTGCAAAATGTTAGGCTAATTAATAGGCATTTTATTTTGGAGAATATGGAACGCTGTCACAGTAAATATTATGACTTGACACCGGTGGCGGAGACCGAAGTCACCGACGCCTTTTGTTACCGGGAGCGACGATGGCGCACACACGAATGGAAAGGGCGAGGCGCGACGCAACAGACAGCATGGTGTGAGAAACTGAGTCAGTCGCACTATGTTCCAACAGATATCGAATCATATGTCCTGTGCTCAGAGATCTCTTTAACCCAGTGTTTCAACATCAAAAGTTCAAACCAGTGCGCTCTCAGACAATTAAGTAAATTAAACAGAATATTGAAGCCCCTTCCACCTTGATGGTCATCCACAAAGAACGATGCGTTGTGATGGCAGCAGGATTATTGGTGTCTGTCTTAAATTGCACGATGAGCCATATGAATCTATGTCTTGTCTCCTAGCAGCATGGCATCACCACGGTAACGCCTTTTAAAGGTTGTTAAAAAAAAAAAAAAAAAAGAACCCAAACGTTACAAAGCAGCCAATGATGACTCACGCTGCTTGTTGTACTAGTACCAGATTTTCTCACATCGTCCAGTTAATATCTGTGGACAACACCATGTGATGCAAGTGCAGAATCAGTCCATCTGACAGGGAGTGGCACATATGTCTGTAAGGTGTGGATCCCTAGATGGATGGCTAATCTATTGCAGGATAACAGTAATAGGGTTAATTAAATGATTGGTGATGGGTGAACTTACAGCAGCCAGACATCATAGAAAGCGAAGACCCCTGTGTTTCGAGAATACTTCATTGCTCCTTTCCACATTGTCAGGGATGTTGATTTGATTTAAAGGTCACAAAGCACACATAGAAACACACAGCCTATCGATACGCTCCTACATCCCCTTGCGGCCTTTAGCTTATAGAATTAGGAGACAATATTCCTAATGGATAGAGATCACTTTTGGCAGCTGACTCACATGGAATGTGCTGACCCCTGATGGCACAGAATTTTTGGGAGGCTCATCACCCACTGCTGCATTATTTGTCTGCCCTGTATCTCTCCCAGATAGACATATGCACACAAAGACATTCAACAGTGGGAGTGTCTGAGTGTCTTTCTTCCCATATATAATACATAAAGGCAATAATATATTGCTTCTTAATTAAATAAAGTAAGATAAACAGTGGTTAAGTAGAGTGCAATCCGTTTTATTTCATATTTCCAAAACATTGATATAGCATATTAGATATGCAATGCTTTAGGTTAATTTCTGAAATGCATGAGAACTGCTTTAAAATACAGAAAACTGTGTACAGTAGTGTTTTTGAGTCTTTTTAATGCTTCTACACTTTCTCCCCCCTTTGGCGAGTGCAAAGACTCGTGGGATTCTAAATTTCTCACTTCAAAGCATGACTTTAAAAGTGTTGTTGTGTTTAAACAGGTGGTTTTGTATTTAGACTCTGTTGCGGGTGTGTGAATGGGTTTTTGGTGTTTGTCTGCCCAAGGAGAGAGTTAAGGTTTATCTAGCTATGGGCCACCCTGACTAAGACACCCATAGCAATTAATGACATCTGGTCAGGATTCATCTTCAGGAAGTTTGTTAAAATGCAGAATAGGACAGTATTCACATACACATGTGGTGCAAGAAGTAGGGGAATTGCAAGAACACTGATGTCCTGTTATAAGAAACTTAAGTAAGGATATGCAGCAAGGACATGTAATAAACTGTGAAGTTATAGTTTAGAGCTCTCAGCTCTTTATTGTAGTTTACTAAAATTCTTAAGTATAGATAAAGGCTATTAAACATTTTTAGATTATGTTCAAAGATTAAGCAATATTTGTTTTGAAACTCAAATCAGTACATGGATCAAACAGTCCCGTACGCTGGTTTTTCCTCTATCTTGACCTCCTTTTATTGATTTTTTTTTTTCTCCTCCATTGTCTATCAGTAACTTTCCCTTCAAAGAACTATAAATTGACTGAAGTATTACAGGAGTTGAGTCACCTGAAATAACCCTAGCAGGCAAATGTGGGGAAAAGTAAAACACTGAGTAAGATCAGAAAAATCATGAATCACCCCGAAGCTCCCGTGACACTAAACATCAGCGGGTTTTTTAATGTTTTGTTTTTTGTTTGTTTTTTTTACATCAGTCCAGCTTTAAAAATGTTCTCCCTCGGTGAGGATCTCGCCCATATGTTCTCAATTATCTCCCTGGCCCACATTGTCAGTCTGGTATTTCCTCCATCAATCCTCCCCTGCCTTTATCTATAGCTTTTTTTCCTTTCATATAATCTCTTAATTCTGTCTATGACCGCTGGGCTATCGGCGACTTGCTCTGTCGTGCTGCCTTCACTTATTCTGGCCTTGTAACAGTTGCTGGCTTTCTCTTCTGGAAATTTCTAAAGGTGAACAACTAGACTTTATTAATTCATCTGAGGGGAAAAAAGATGATGGATAAAATATAGAGATGCAGCAAGTGAGTGCAAAAAGCAAAAAACAGCTTGCAGACCATCACGTAGTTTGCTGGATGGGAGCTGGGTGTGGCCTTAACACCATACAAACTCCATGTTGAACCTAACGCCTACTGATGCAGCAGAAATATGTATGCTTTAATTTTATTCACAGGAGTCACAAGAGCTGTGTGGGTGTTATGTTTAGCCTTTATCTTTCGCCTGAACCTGACTTTGTTCAACCTTTCTTTTTTTTTTTAAACTTGATAATTTTTTTGCCTACATCATCAAAGCTCCAAGCCACAAAGCAGCTGACTAGGAGGCTTGCATACCCCAAAATTGAATCACCATCTGATTAAGTCCATTCATATACAATGTCTTTGTTCAAGGTGCCTGCGCTCCTCACCCTAACTACATCTGATGCAGCATGAAGGCAGAGAAAGGAAGTGCAAGAAGAGGCTATGCGTTTGTCACACTGTGAAGATGTTGTAACAGAAGTGTCACAAGGCTGGTTTATTTGGCCTTGAATGTTCCTACGCAGCTTCTGTGTGACTGACAGTAACTCACATGCTTTACATGGGCATGGAAGAATGGCTGCAAATGCATTTGTGAGTCATGTTTGTTTCCTGTAAACGCCTGAACTCCCCCGCGTATCGATTTGTACCACACTGCACCCCCAATTAAATCACAGAGGTTGATGAATTTGAAGATCCCAGCGGTAAGAAAAGACAAGGAGATGGAAATGTGAGAGAGCTGTCAGCAAGCCAAGGGAAGTAGCCCGTGGTAAAAAAGTGATAGTATACTCTGAAATATACCAAATGACTCAGCCTTTAGACAGAAAGATGAGGGTATGAAAAGAGAGAGAGATCTCTCTAATTGGAATGGATAGACAGCGAGGCGCATGGCTCCCTCCAGACCATTAGAGAAGCCCGGGTGGAGAGGGTTTGTTCCCAGGAGGCGAGAGCTTGTCTTATGCTCAGCCATGGGGAAGAATCTGGCAGGGACTGTGATGGGTGGAGAGAAGCCAGGGGAGAAGATGGGCCCCATTGTCCTGTCTCACTGATGAGGAAGAGGTGATACGGGACGCTCCTCACAAGGAAAAGAAGAAAAAGGATGGTTAAGACAGAAAGAGACAACAGAGGATGAAGAACTGGTGATGAAAGAGGGGATGTCAAAGAAGTCACAGACAGGATGAGACGCGGGACTGGAGAAGGGGAAGGAAGACATTCTATAGTTATAAGAGGAAAAGGAGTCAGGAAGTGAAAGAGAAAGAAGGGAAGAGAAAAAGTGGGGAGAGAGTGGAAACGAGGTGGGAGGGTGAGCTATGTCAGGAGCTGTGGTTAGGGGGGAGGAAGAAAACAGGAAAAGATTTATAATGCTACAGTTGTCGTTGTTTCTTGTGTCCCTCGACTAAGTTCTCCTGATTGGTTAGTTAGCCCGCTGGGGAGAGGGGGGGTAATATCATGGCTAATTCTTGTGGCTTTTGCGAATTGGAGGATCCTGCTTTGATAAGGATAGTCTGATAGCGGTAAAAGGACAAGATGGTGATTAGGATATGAAACACACATTGCACCTGGGACCAAAGTTGTTCTAAACCAGTACACTGGCAAAATTATTAAATGCTTCTCACATGTTTTCTCATATTAAGAGCCAAGAGGGCACTTATGATGTAGTGATTGTTTGGTTTTTTCCCCTTCTTGAGTGTTATTTCCTGATCGCATTTAATACTTTAATTCTTTCTCATGTTTTAATACGATGCATGTTGGTTTTTAAAGCTAACAAAATCTTCGTGCAAGCAGTTAACCACTTTCTTCTTTTTCTTTAACTGCATCACTGTTTTTCTTCCTTTATAAACTCGGCGCAGCTCTGGTTACTGTTCTTATTCTGCTCTAGTTTATCGCTTTCCTTCTTTGCTTCCACACTTTAAAAGCAAAGTGTTTGAGTTTGGTGACCGAGGTGGCCGCATGTTTGTGTGTGTTGCTATAAGATAAAAATAAACCTTAGTCTAACTATTTCTGTTCTGTGGATTGCATCATTCACACTGCACTAAGGACTATGAGATAAAGATAGCAGGAGATGAACAGACCAGCGCCTCCAGCAGTGAAATGGGTTCATCTCAAGAACTCAGTCGGTTAAAGTATTGCAGAATTTAGACCTTATTTAAGAAAATAGTTTAAAAATCTGTTATACATACATTATTGTAATGTGTCACTCTGCAGTGGATACAATATTGACCCAGAGACAGAAAGGAGAGACTTTTCCCTGGCTTACATCATTGTAAGGTGGTCCACGGGATTCAGATATATTTTAGTGGGAAACAGATATCTTACTGATTTTCCAGTGCTTTAGGACTTTGGTGTCAATCTTTTTTGTCAGGTGGGATGAACTCAAAAATCTCCTCATCGACACCACTCATCAATAATGCAAATGTGTTCAATTAAATGAATTTTAAATGGGATCTTATTTTAATTCTGCATGTTCCAGTCATTTGTAGAGCTGCAAGTTGCACTGGAAAACTTGTAACCATTTCAGTGATTTATCCATTCATTTTAGCCTACATTCCATTCATCTATACCTTTAGTTTGCTGTTTAAAGTATTGTCCATGATGCTAATTCACTCACTTGTTTTCTCTGCGTCCATAATCTCTAATTATTTTTAATGCAGATTCGTTAAGAAAATAAATTGTTCACGTGTTAACGTAATATGTGCATGTAATGTAATCAGACCATCTATAATCACTATTCATTTACCCCCTAACAAGCTCTGGCCCCCGGGTTACAAGAACTGAATTTACAATTTCTTTCCACCCATGTCTTGCTGTGCTCTTTGTTTCAGGTTGGTGATAAGGTTATGGTGCTGAACCGCTTTGGGCTGTGGCAGGAGGTAGCAGTGGTGCCGGCAAACCACACCTTCCTAATCCCAGAGGGGATGAGTTTTGAGGAGGCAGCAGCCCTGCCTGTCAACTACATCACTGCCTACATGATGCTGTTTGACTTTGGCAACCTGCGACCCAACCAGAGCGTGCTCGTCCATGCGGCTGCAGGTAAAAACTAAGCAGAAACCAGTTTTCAAAAATATAGAGAAATTTTTATGCGCATGTGGAACACACAGACTCCTTGTTTTCTGCCAGGCATAGGTTGAAGATACATTGATAAAAGGGATTGTTACTTCAACCACTGTGCTTGGAGCTTTGAATAATTGCCTGCATTCCAAAAAGGTCATATGTAAATAAATGTAATCCTACAGCTATTTGTCAGTTTCATCTTAGTTTGCACCATCTCTGTGATTGTGAACTGTGTTTATATCAACCTCTTTAATAGAGTTAAAGAGACCATTTTACAGTTCATCAGAAGAACACAAATCAAAGATACAAAGCTGGTATTACAGACTAAAAAAAACACCCTTTGGCACTTTCACTTCTTGACTTTCTCCTTCTCTGCGTGCCCTGTTTATGCATTTTTCTTTATGAATTATAGCCAATGGAAAAGGTCCCAGACTTCATCTGTATGAGATATGGCTCAGTGTTTTACTCTCTCTAGGACTACACTAATATAAGAGCACCTGCCACCTGGAGTGTAAACGGTCAACGTTCAGAGCGAGTGGGGGGAGGGAGAGAGATGGGGATTGAGGGAGTAAAAGCACCTGTTTTGGGGTGTGATCCACAAAGCTTGAGAGCATTTAATTCTGCTCTGTTTACACAATCAGGCCAGCTGGAGAGAACTGAAGAACACTAGCCAAAATAAGACGCTCTCTCATTCTCCGTTCCCCTTTTCTGCTGTCTACCACTGCACATTTCTCACTTTTTGTCTTATTCCCACTTTAATTGTGTAGAGGGAGCAAGAAAGGGGTCCCTCAGCTTTGGGAGCAGTTTGTGGGTGAGGATTGCTAAGAAACCTGACTGCCAGGTGAATGCATCCCCTGACATTAACACTGAAAAAAGAATGAATTTGTAAGCTAAACTGCGATATGCCCCGAGCTGAATGACAGCAAACGTGCTCATAGTTGTGGAACTGGTGGTCTACAGAGGAATCCCAAATGTTTGCATTAATCATATCATCTAGTTGATGCAATTCATCCCTGTGAATACAAAAACTGTATGGCCCAAGGGTTCCTGTGCAGAGTGTGTTGTCGATGAGAGGAATGCTGTGTGGTGTGGTGTAAGACACATTTCCCTGCTGGTTTGGTTGATGCGGCATCTCTGGTTTCTCAGGGCAGGCTGCCAATCTTGGCTCGCCAGCTGTCCGGACATCAGGATTGTAAAAGCACATTGCTGAGGCTATGACAAAAACATTTGCTGAACAGTCTTGCCAGTGCTCTGTCATTCCTTGCATGTGTAAATAATCATTGGAAATAGTGTACGTCCTGCTCTAAAAGCTAGCAGTGTGTATATTAGTAGTGCCTTTTCTGAATAAGGTGTTAGAGCGTGAGAGCTGCGTGCATCCTTCTCTTAACATCATCATCGGCTGCGTGGCTCAAAGTGTGTGTGTGTGTGTGTGTGTGTGTGTGTGTGTGTGTGTGTGTGTGTGCGCATGTGCGCGTGTGTGTGTGTGCGCGCGTGTGTGTGTGTGTGGGTCCCACCCTGAGTCTGTCAAAATTGTTCCTGATGTTCTCTGATTAGTGTGATCAAAGGTGTCTGCTGTGACAGGGTCAAAGAGAGATGGGGGTGGGGTAAGACTGAGTGTCTACAGACCTATCTGCGCTGTTCTTTCAAGTCTGTTTTCCAATAACAAGAAGGAGATTAAAGCCAGGGGTGCTTATGTTCCTTACAAAATGTATTCCACCATTCCAGTGCAACTGGTTATTTCAAATTAAGACCTAACAGGCTTGTCTTTCAACCATCAATGGAAACCGGAGTAACCAAGAGAACTCTCACAGACACAGGGAGAACACACAAACACCATGCAAAAAGCCACAAGCCAGCAGGCTTATGGATTCAAACACAGGACCTTCTTGCTGTGAGGTAACCGTGCAAACCACGGCACCGCTGTGCTCTTCCGCTCAGACAGTAATGAAACTGAACAATTTGCTGCATGTAAGTGTGCGGAAGCTGAAATTTCTGGCCCAGAGTAAGAGAGACAAGCTTTATGAATACGCACTATTTTTATAAATATATAAAAAATAAAAAGTGGTATCAAAAGTATGCTAGTACATATTAGTCTAAAGCCTTTTACTAAATGAAAGTTTAGCTTGCACATAAAGACTTGTTTTTTTTTATGTCATTCATGTTATTGTAAATGAAATTTCTATAATTTCTGACAGAAAAAGAAAGTGATTTGATGATCATGGGAAACTTTCAGTACTTTCTAACATGTTTAAAGACAAAACAATTACCACTTTGTTTTTAGATAATAAACAACTTAACTGCTAACACAGGCATTGCTTCTAGCTTTATAGTAAAGTAATCTAAGGCGATGGTTCCCCTTTTTGGCTAACACTGAAGCAATGTTTACCTGTGACCCCTTTTTGCAGTCCATGATTAAGCACATCACATGATTGAGTTCTGAGCACATCACGACTCAAATATCCCTGGTTTCATTTTGACATGGAGGGGGCAGGGGTTATGACTCTTAGTTGGACTTTCCATATTGTTCATACTCACAAGGCACTCTTATTATGTGTAGTAACTTTGAGAAGATTTATCTTTTATAACATCATTTGTTAGTGCTGGTGTTTGTTATCATCTGTTTCCACAGGTAAAATTAATCGATATGCAATTCCAAGGTACATGCATCTTTTATCCTATGAAGTTATGACACAATAGTGAGTTACAGCTAAACCTTTCTCACAGCTCCACCCATTTGACTAGCATAAATAGGCAAAGGGATTTACATTAGACTCATTAGACTGTCTCAAAATTTTGCAATTGCTGGGTGCATGTGGAAGTGCACCCAAACAAACAACACTGATCTTGTGTGTAAGACATGTCTGCATAACACCACGTTCTTGCAACATTTGTTTATGTTGAGCAAAGATAATATAGTGAGCTTTAAGATGAGATTAACTGGGCCACATAACCCAGGAGTAGCACAGGCAGTGATTGGTTTTTCAACCTCAGTGACAAAGTACAGTTGTAACTACGATATAAACTGGTTATTTTTTCTTTTTATTGAAGGCCAAGATTGACAGCTTTTTACCACATAGACTCTCTGTTTGAGTAATTTTCTTCATTCCTCACCTTCATGTCTTTCTAGTAAATTCTTGAGGGTTCATCCTCTGAGTGACTGTTTTTCTTTCTTTCTTTTTTTCTTATAAGAATCTAATCTGCTAATTAATCGCTTTGGAAAATGATTAATTAAATTATATTTAAAGCGTCCCTGAAGGTCCTAAAACCTTTAGTTGAACAATAATTCCTAATAATGAACATCTAATCATATCATTTTTGACAGATTTGGGAGTTTTTCTTATATAAAGGTTACTAACATTGATGTATATCATAGATAAGAAGAATAAAATGCAAAAAAAATCTTTAAGTCAGGGGACAAGTAGCAGAATCCTGGAAGACCAACAGAAGAGGGATCTCCTCTTCTAGAATGGATTTACAATATAGAGAAAATTATGTCATTAAAAAAAAGTTGGTCTCTTTCAAGAAATAATCTGGCCCCTAAATGGTTAACTTGTAATTGTTCCACTTTATTTTAAGACCTGATGAATGAGCTGAAGAAATACTGGTAGGTATACTGGTAGGTTTGTATACTTTCGGATGGAGGAATTTTTTATGCTATTCTAACTCACTATATGTTTATTATAATGACATGAGGGTCATTCTAATTGTTAAACTGTGCATGTGAAATTTCACAGAATCCATCCATTCTAAGCTTCTTATCCTTTTCGGGGTGGCGGGGGGGATGGAGCCTATCCCAGCTATCTTGGACGAGAGGCTGGGCACACCCTGGACAGGTCGCTAGTCTGTCGCAGGGCTAACACACAGATGCAGACAACCATTTAGACTCACATTCACATCTATGGGCAATTTAGAGTTTCCAATTAACTTATCCCCACTAATTGCATGTCTTTGAAAGAAAAAGACATCCAAGTAACCAGAGAGAACCCATGTGAACATGGGGAGAACATGCAAACTCCACACAGAAAGACCCTGGCCTGATGGTGGAACTGAACTCAGGACCTTCTTGCTGTGAGGCAACATTGCTAACCACCGTGCCACCATATTTCAAGATTTAAAGATGGTATGAAACTGAAGTAAAGGTTACCGGTAATGTCAGAAATAATAACATAACCCTTCGCAGCTGGTTGCTTTGAATCAGTGCCTTCTAAAAAAAATTTGCCAGGTCTCACTTCAAAAGCTGGAAAAAAGTTCACACCATACATGCCAAAAAGTTTTATCATTCTGTAGAAATAAAAAAGATTCAACAAGTATTTCAGTGTAATGAAGGCCAGCACTTATTTTTTTATATTTTGGTCTCTATTTTCCCTATAAAAATAATTTATTCATTAGTTTTACTCCAAATTTCTCCCAGGTCATTTTCAACCTCATTTTGTGAAAAGTTGCATTAATGGTGGTGATAAATTTTAATGCTCTTGCTGATGGAAAGCAGTGACAGATGTTCATGGGAATAACCTGCTGAACTCTGTTGTGAGCATCAGGGATGCTTTTGTGTCTCCATGTTTTCTGGTAATGTCACATCAGCATGAAGAGCAACATTTCCTCAAATGTATGGTGACCTTAACCCATCAGGATCAGGTGACCAGATAGGAATGCCTGCCTGGTGTTTAGACTCTGTCTGTCAGTCAGGCCTTTATGTGCATGTAAGTAAACTCTGGTGAATAGTCCTCAGCTGCTTCTCTCGTGGGTCCGCTCCTGTCCTTTCTCTCCAAACAATGGCTTTTTGTATTTCCTCCCATCGTGCCTCTCTACTCCACTGCGTTTCACATCTGCATCCTCCGTTGTCCTCCTCCGCCTCCGGCACTCCGTAACCTCTGCTCCCTCTGCTTGACCTCTCCATATCCGTGCTCTAGTCCTCGTCATCGGGGAACGTACGCACGTTTCCCCTTTTGTTTTCCCCAGAGGGCTTGGGTGGGGACGAA